ATCATATTTAAAAATGTTTAATAAAGGACTTCTGCTCATAGCTGAGTACTCTAATATAACAATTGTTACTTTTAATTAAAAGGGAGCTGAAAAAAGTCATGAAACTTCTTTTGTGCTTTCAGTGAAAGTCGTGTGAAATCTGAAAAAGTCTGCGCTGTCGCAGCCGAAGACCGAAACTGGTGATGTCAAGTTCCAAAGAAGTGCATTTACCAGGCATCTGTAGCACACTGCTCATCTCTGCCTGGGGGTGGTGGCACAAGGCTGCTTCAGTGGATAATAACATAACACACTGAGCTTAATGTTGGCAGTCACATTGCATTATGGGTAAAGTACTTGCCAAATTTTGACAAAGTAGTAAAATGTGTGGATTAAAAAAGTCAATATCTCTGGTTCTGAACTGACATGACAGTGTTACATGAGTGCAATGCTAAATGAGTGGAGTGTAATTTAAGGTAATGGTGCTGAATTCTTCTGCTATTAGAAAAGAACATTACTCTTTATGTACCTCCTGCTCTCCCCCCTCCAGGTACGGCTCCAGCAGCTCAGTCGACTCTGGCCAGTGCCTTGGTGGTCTTGAAGGATTTCTCTGGGGCAGGGGCTGGGGCTGGAACATGTCCTGGCTCTGATGGTAGTACTGGTATTCTTGCTGGTGGTACTGGGGAAACTGGTGATATTGGTAAGGCTGCTGCTGGAACTCCTCGATGTGCAGACCCCACAGGTAGACGAGGAAGAGAAGACCGGCCCCCACAGACACAAGCAGGTACCGCTTCTTGGCCTGCATGTGTGCTGCGGGGGGAGGAAGAAGAGAAGGTGGTTGGTTTGGGAGGGGGTGTGAAGAGAATGAGGGAAGGAGGGAGGATAGGAGGAAACTACAGTAGGAACAGGAGAGGGAAGAGGGGAAAGTGAGAGGCAGCTAGTGGTGAAGGTGAAGTGTTAAGTGAAAGGGGGGATTTTAAAAAAGAGGATAAAGTAAGAGACGGAGTGAAGGGGAAAGAAGGGAGGATGAAGCGTTGAAGAGGAGGGATATGAATAAAAGGAAAAGAGGAGAAAGGCAGATTAGGAAGTGGGAAATGATGAGGAGAGGGTTTGCAGGGAGGTGGACACAAGTCAGCTGGACCCACAGGGCACCCTCTCTACCCACAGCTCAGCATCTTGGGATCTGGAGTCACTGCAAGAAAAAAAGAAATAAAAATTAAATTTGTATTCATATAAATAGAAATCCATGTTTAATGCATTGTAATTTCAAGCTAACAAAGGTTAAGATTCTTCTGTTGTCAGGTTTTGTCATCTTTAGTGTCACTAACGAAGCAACACATTTTGTTCACGCCCTTAACAAAATACAAATGGTAATATGTATCAGTTCAAACTCCAGGGTGCTGTTTTAAATACACACACGAGGATATGTTTGCAATATTCTTTTAAATGTAATAAATAAATTTTAAAAATCGGTAGAGACCTGTATTCAATAACTCATAGTTTTTATTAATGGCATAATATTTTAATGTCTTGTTTATCATCAGTTGATTTAGTCAGCGATGCATTTTAAATAGAAGCACCTATAATACAGCCCTAACCTTCTGACGCCTTGTGCCTTTCACGGTTTTGGCAATTAGGCTTTTGTCCCTTAGCAAAAATATGTATCCAATACATTGGGACTAAACACATTTTACAATTTCATTTAAATGGTGCAAATGTGGCATTTGATACACAGCATTTGGTTTCTGCAAAGCTGTGACTTTTTTAAACAGCTGACAGCGCCGTGTGTTTCCAGGATTATGTTGAATATACTCCAACATTTTCATGAATATAACTAGAGTGTAAAGCTAGAAGTGTGTGTGTGTGGAATGAAAGCGAGTCAGTTGGAGATTTATAAGCTCAGAGAAAGGTCCTCGATCCTGTGCGATGCGCACTAAACTGCTGGATTTCTGAATGGAGATTGGAGCACTGTGCTGCATGTGGAACAGACAGGTGGCTTTTGTTGCCATTTAGTAAATTATAGCCCTTGAAAATTCATTTCTTCACTATCTTCAATAACGCTTGATATAAACATCTCTATCAAAGATTTATCACTAAACTCAACTCGGTGTAATCTACCTGTTTACAAGGAACACCTGTGGTCCCAGGAAGGGATCGGGATGTCCGCTGCTCTCCCCTCCAGCCTGAGCAGGGCTCCACAGTTTGGATACACATTCTCCAGTTAGACTTCAAATTCCGAATCACAAATCCATCGACAAATGATAAATGATATTAAAAGCAGGCTTAGGGGCGTTCACTGAGCTCAGCAGAAGGCGCTGCCTTCATCCTCCTCCGGATCTGAGTCAAACTTTCCCCGGGAAAGGAAAGAGGAGTGATTCTCATAATAAACGAGACGCTGACAGGGAGAATACACAGCGATCCGTCAGTTCGGCAGGTAACCACGATGTGGATTTAGATACACACCCATCTACCAGAGCATCTACACGGACCGCATCTATTCAGAAGTAACCGACGTGTGAACCAAAGCGCGTACGTCTCCAGTGTACAGCTGCCATCCCCTTTACTAAAAATGCCGTCAAGAGACGATCCAAACTTTGAGGTCAAAATCCACACTCTCAGCTGTGCACTGCGTCTTACGGTGAGAAATAAAGAAAAATCATCATCCCAGGTAAGTTGGGAAAATATCGACAACGCCGGCGCACCTGATCCGGAGCGACGCGCGTCAGTAAAATCCTGTTAGGAGAGACTTCATGGTCCGCCAAGTGGCAAGCAGCGGTTGTTCTCCATAAGGTTAAATGAATGCATCAAACCAACATCATGAATTGTATTCTGGGTTATTCCATCCCGAATTCTCGCTTCCAGCACGCCCGCTGGCCTCACGTTTCCATTCTTAAATCCTCCGTTGGATCTGGGCTGCGCCACCGTGCAGCATCAGTATAGCAGCGCTGATAAGGCAGACAGCAGCAAGCTGGCAGACTAAGGGATCGGAGCGTGCACGGGGCGTCAGCTGGTCCTCACAAGGTATGGGAGCTCGCCATAATTCCGCATCTCAGTCTGTTAGCACCCGTTATAACAGTATTGTATAGCGTAAAACCAGATTACTAAGAAGTCCCAGAGGAGCAATCCGGGCCCCTGTAACTGTCACCCAGAATTTCCTTTTGCAAACCAAACTCCATTCAGCATTCTGAGTTTAGGATTCATATGTTTATTGGTAACACACAGTTTAACTTTAGGATAAACCTCTTATCAGTAAAATATCCATTTTGACATTAAACTTGGCGTTTTCTTACCAAAGTTATTTTTCTGAGCTGGTGCTTGGTGCGTCACTAAGTCGTTCTAAAGGCGTAAACAGTTTTTCTAACAGCCAAATGATGTAGCCTTTAACTTTACAAAACTGATTTAGGCTACACTTTGGGGGGGTGTTAGCGTCGTTGGTCTTAAATTGTGGCATTTGTAAAATAAAATATTTCACTGAGCCTGGGCTCCCCTGATAATTTGGTGTCAAATTACGTTAAAGGGATTTGTCATGGCTCAGACGCGTCTGCAAACGTCTGCACTTTTAATTAAGTCTTAGCTCATTAAATCTCTCAATGATTTGAATATTTGGCCCAATCAATCAACTTTTACCAACCACCTGAACCACTGATCTTTCCCTTTTTTCTAGCCCCCTCATTCACGTTGCTGTTATTTGTAAATACGACACTGACTGAATAAAACTAATTTGCCCACGGTTTAAATCGATGTCATTATCTCATAAATTAGAGTTCACAGACGTGTGGCTCACACACAGACACATCAGACAGCGCCATCTTGTGGCAGAGTTTGCAACCAACTCTTCAACACAAGTTCAGCTTTTAGGGACTGATCTGAAAATCAGCCTCTGATCCGTGTGTAAGAGTCTGTGATGGCAAATTAGTGTCTCTTTACAGCTTGTGATGGGACAATACATAGACCCCAGTGACTATGGTTTTGGTACAGTATTAGGATCCAGGGAGACATGTCTGACAAATGATTTAAGGTGAAATCAGGGAACTGCACAGCAAATTAATATTAACATGCCTTAGCTAAGTGATGACACAGATGCTTGTGTACAAGTCAGGGCAGAAGAGTTGTGGTCTCTAGTGCTTCAGAAATAGAACATCTGTCTTGCATGTAAGAATTATATTTGGCATATTGAATATAAAAGAGAAAATAGACACATTTCACATTGATACACACTGTGTCATACCTTTACAGTCTGTACCCGTTTATTTACCCAGTCATACCATGGCACTGTATGTGACAGAGCTACAGTAACACCTGACATTTTGAACATTTCTGTAAATTTTCATGATTATATTCCAAACAATCCCAGTGCAGAATCTACAAATGTTGTGTGTTCACTGATAAGTCTGGTTTGATCTTAGTGCTTCTAATTGTATAACAGTGTAGTCTTGACTTTCCCTTTTGCTCGAGAGTCTTTGAACCTTGTCGCTGTTGTAGTTTTATGGGTTTGCTGCTCTGGTGCCAAAAGCTTTCACAGAAGCTGGGAGCGGTACATAAATCCAGGAGCTTGAAGAGTTATGAAAGGTAAACCAATAAAAGTTCTGGGTTTATTTGACAACTTGAAAAAATACAAAAGTCCAACATTTGACTAAAACACTCCTACTGTGTCTCTCAGCAAACCAGGACGTGATGTTTTATTTTCATTTACCTGTCCTATGATAACTCTGAATCACTGGTGGTGATGGCTTTGTGGTCGGTTAGGGGATGATAAATCTTAAAAAGGTCCTATTGGTGCTCAGAGCACCAGAGAGAAAGCCAGCGTTGATCTGTTTCCAATCTCAGTCCGCCGCTTCATTTCCTCCACTTCCTCATTTTCACCATCAATCTAGAAGCTTATGTTACAGCTCAGCAGTACTGCTTCTCTACCACTTCTCTATTGTATGAACATCTCAGATGAGACTGGATCCAGGTTTAACATGAGGTTGTATTTATTTGTGCAGTGGCCCTGATCCTCTTCCTTAATACATAAAAATAGTTTTTTTCTAGAGACCTGACTCTTTCTATTTGTGTATTTACTACAAATGACTGTGATTTATAGTCTTATGTTTAACTGATATTCGTTTCTTTTTAAGATATTAACAGTATGGCTAAAGAAAGCAAAGTGATTTTTCTCCACTGTAAAACATATTGAGACGTTGGCATTCAGCATGTATTCCTTCAGACTGCACAACAGCCCTTACAACCTTCACTAGTAAGAAAATCACCCTGAAACAATGGAAGTAAGGGCAGAGCACAGGACAGGATATTAAACCATTGCATCTACTTTGGTATTTGATCATTGTGCTTCTATTAATATTCTGGTCTGATGTCTCTGATCACCCCCAGAGGTGGTTCATTGGGTCTTTGTGTCTTGACACCTTGCTTTTATGCAATTCTGTTCTATTTAATTCCAGTATGATTACCCAGGATGGAAGGTCTGTGTGCATGGAGAGGAGGTCTTACTGTCAGATGTTCATGTCAGGTAATTGGAATGAGGCAGACACACTGGCAGGCAGGTGCAATGATAAAACTAACTTTATTTGGTAAAGCAAAAGACTTACAGGCAGGCGATCAGGTCCAGGTAAAGGAACAGTTAGAAAACAAAACAGATTGGCAAGAACATGTGTTCATAGCATGAACAGCACAGAGGAGAATGACAAACAGGCAGGATGTTAGTGCAGCTGGCAGGTTTAAACATTGGCTGGGATAATGAGAAAACTGGGAGTGGGTGTGTGAGCGGGCGGGGTAGGTGAGGTGCCTGGGATTGGTGGCAAAGTCCGGGGGCATTACTTCATGCAACCAGACAGTGATATCCTTAGTGCAATGACAGTGGAGTGACACAAAACATCTGAATTGAGGCCTGAGAGGTGATTCCTGTGTGAGAGAAAAAGGCTCTGACTCGGTCTAAATCTTTGTTCAGGATGCACTGAGGAGGAGACAAAGTGCTAACAATGTTGACTGAGTCACATCCTTGGCTCGGAGCACATGTACAACCCCTGTCCCAACACACACAAATACAAAACTAGCAACTCTGTCCTGGCTTGTGATTGTGTGTTGCTTGCTTGCGCACATGCTCACGCACACTAAACACCAGCTGGGCCACTGGCTGCTATCACAGTAGTCCTGTTCTGTTCAGATACTCGCGCCCAGGATTTGAGGATGTCTTGTAATATTCAAATTCAAATATTCACATTTTCAGACCATCTGGTGCCGTGCAAAACATAAAGTGAACCTGCACTGCTGTAATTATTATCTATATGAGAATCATAATAAACCAGCAGAACAGCTGAAAGCCTGCTCGGTCTAGAGACGTGCATGAAGTATCACATGGTGGATCAGTCGCCGGCTGCTTTTTCATGGTGGAACCACAAAAATTAATTTCAAACACAAATCCAAAATTCTGAACAGCATCTATATTTATGATGAGGTGGTTAGTGCTGTTGCCTCACAGCAAGAAGGTTCTGGATTCCCACTCGACCCAAGGCCTCTCTGTGTGGAGTCTGCATGCTCTCTGGGTGCTCCAGCTTCCTTCCACAGACCAAAGACATGCAGCTTAGGTTGACTGGTGGCTCCAAATTGCCTGTAGGAGTGAGTGCGAGTGTGTGTGGTTGCTTGTCTACATTTAAGGCCTGTGATAGACTGGTGATCTGTCCAGGGTGGACCCTGCCTCTCACCCAATGTCAGCTGGGATTGGCTCCAGCCAAAATTAAACAAAATAGGTGCAAAATGTCAAAGAAACAAAATAGCAAACACTGATACAAAACAACCTCAATAAGACAGACTACAGATCATGTGGTTGCCGAGTCTGACTCTTGGTCCTAGAGGTCAAGGAGAGTAGGGACCTTCTACATATCTGAGCCCAGAGGTCCATTGTTTCATTATCTGTTCATGCATGGTCTTCATCAGCAGACTAAACTTCAACCTGGAACCAGTGAAACAGCTGGCGTTGTGTGTCAGCTGCTGCATCTTGCTCCTGCTCTGTTGAACCTTGTTTCATTTCTTCTGTCAGCTGTTGTCTCGCAGAGTAGCTAAAAATGTTTAAACGCTGACATGCCTTTGACAGTAATGGCATATATACACTGTTAACACTTAACTGCATTAATGGCCGTTGCTTTTCCAAATGCATGTAGTCATGGATACAGACAGAGACAGTAAAATCACATCTTGTCAAACGGTCCAACACATCACAAACAGCAGCATTTTAGCTGTGAACACTGTAACAAGAGATGACAAGATGGACAGTCACACAAAGCAAGTCACCAGTTCTGTCTGCAGAGATAACAACCACCAAAGTCAGTTCACCCAATTCAAAAAACTCACTTGACTTTTAGGATGAACAGTCTATGAAATCTCAGTTGTAGTTATTTAAGAAATTTTGCCTTCTAATCTGGCTCTAGTTAAAAGTGATGTGGTCTGTGGTTGTTCAAATGGGTTGAGATCTGGTGACTGTGAAGGCCACAGCATTGCTTGTCTCTAAGTGTCAGCCCTGTGATAGACTGGTGACTTGTCCAGTGTGGACCCCGCCTCTTGCCCAGTGTCACCTGGGACTGGCTCCAGCCTCTCCATGACCCTGTTCAGCGGTATAGATAGTGGATGAATTATGCCTACTGATTTTGCATTATTTAAAGACAGTGAAGAAGGGAAAGAAGAAGGACCAGGGAAATCCCTTTGTTGGTTGCCTTCATCAGATGAGATAATGCACCAAACGTTTCTGAGCTGCTTTACACGAGTCATGACTGACAGAACCTTTACAGCATAGTGTAGCTTTGCACCACTCAGTTTCTGAGTCACAGAGAGCTGTGAGGTGAACGCAATGCTCTGCAGCACCCCAGTGCATCTGCAGTGCAAATTGATTTCTCATGTCACCACCACTTGCTGCTAATGTGTATGTGAGCACAGAGGGAGTGCATGGAGAAGAACTAACAAACATACTAGGGTCAATCAATAGAAGAGCCTCCAGGACT